AAATTTCTGCAGGAATTTTCTAGTATTTAGATGTAGTATTTAATATTTTTTGGTATGCAGCTAAGTCAGTGCAGAATCTTCCATATTTGAAGCTACATTAATACATATTACTTTTCTGTTTGTTTTTTCTCTTTTTCTATGGGGCCCACCCTGAGCATTTGTCTGCTACCTAAAAAAATAATCTGTCCGTCTGACATATAATGATCAATGAAGGAAGACTAACAGGTGAGAAGTTCATTTAAATTTGTAGGAAAATGTTTTTATATATATAATAAATCCTAACATGATTTAGTCTGGATTTGTGCTGCTGTACATATAAATCACACAGAATCAGTCATATTAAAAAGAACAACTGTAATAACATTTTATTCCCCAACTACTCATTTTGCATTGTTACTCTTGTACTTTTAATTTTCCTTTTACAGTGAACAAAGTTCATGTTTCTAAAGGTCCGTTGTTTTGTGATGTTGACTTGAATTTGTTATTTTTTAAAGCATTTGTTTAACCATTTGCTCTTCTGCAAACAGATTGTTTTGGTTGTTCCTCCAACAAATTTGATGATTTGTGCAGATTTGATGGTTTTGATTAACTTCCAATGTTCTCTGAAATTGAAAGTGTTATTTTTTGTGCTGTCTGAATCTGTGGTTTATGTTATACCTTTATGCTTATGAGCTAAATGTATAAAATAATGCCACAGAAGTCACTTCTGAGCACCAGCCTCCCTGCAATCCTGCAAGGATAAGCCGGTATTGACAAAGGATGAATGAAAGGATGCTTTCCTTGTAGGAGTTTCTAAACTTTTCAGATCCACTGCTTATAACTCATTGTATAACACCGCTGAGCTGTGGCACATATGTCTTGCAAACTTTGTCCTGTTCTCCCATATTTCTTATCTTTTACTATCCTTTAATCTCCTGCTTCCGGGTGGCGTGGGAGTTGCATTCTGTCTTTAGCAGGCAAAGGGTGAAGGGTACAGTTGGACTCATCCGGTTTATAGGGCAATTATGATTGTCAAGTTCTGGAGTGGAGTGCACAGAGAACCAGTGCATGCAGAGAGAGAGAGAATCTTTGGACCAATTTGTAGATACATTAAAAACTATCCAATTTTACCAGGATTTACAAGGATTTGATTTATTCTTAAAGTAAAAGAATCCCAAGTCTAGATGTGTTCATGGTTCAGATATTTGACAAAGAGTTGAGACTAAATCACTATCATCTGTTGTGCTTGATGTCAGTACAGAATAATCCAGTGAAAGTTTGTGAGAGCGTGTGAGTCATCTCTCTTCAACACTTGATCTTTGGTACACCTCTGTCATAAAAGAGAGAGAGAGAGGGAGAGAGAGAGAGAGTGTAAAGGGATTTTGTGAATGAAGTTCAGATTCAAATCAGATGTTGTGTTGAAAGCGTCTTAAGGGCTGCGTACGGATGTGGAAAGTTTTAGTCAAAGTTGAGGGTTTTTTCTCATAAAAGCAGAGAATAGTTTCTATCACCTGGTGATGTATTTTTGTCTTTACTTTGTCCTGGGACTGCTCTCATCAAAAGGTACGTGTGGAAGAAAGTTTGAAGTTATTTCCCCTGGATTTCATCTTAATGAGTTACAAATGTACCTATACTGAATGTGTTGTGGAACGCAGTAAACAGGCATTGGCGACTTATTTGCAAAAAAGTAAATCACCAAAAATGCCATTTAAAGTGAGATTTTATTTCACTGGAACTAATTAAATTTTTTAAAGAGGAGAAAGTTTTCTAGTTACATTCTGTGCTGCAGCATAAACAGTAAAAGTGCAACTGCTCCAGTTTGTTTCTTTTAAAAAAACACCAGCTTAAACCAGTTTGAACTGGTATTAAATTTAACATGAGATGAGGTTTAGGTTTGCTTGACGTGTTAAATCATTGTGTGGAATGCTTTTATTTCATTTTACGGGATTTCCAGCTTTTGTTAACTGATCTGCTTTGGCTCCAACATTCAGGCTCAAGTTCACCTGTTTACTTTAGTTATCTCTCCGTCCCATTTACTCGTAATAATAGTTTGTTCAGTGGCATCTGATGTCAGGCAGAGTTACAGAAGCAGGTGTTGAAACGTGATTTTGAAATGTAACACAGGATAACAGAGGTTTATCTAATACCACTAATTCTTGTGGCAACGCCTGTAGCCCACATTGCTGCTTGAAACACTGTGAAAAATTTTCTCTTTTAAAAATTATCTTAAGGTTGTTTAGCAATGCAGCTGGAAACGCTGCTGCCTTTGAGCAAGAGGAATCTGGGATTCCCAGCCTGGGGTCGTCATGCATGGAGTTTCTAGGCATGCCTGCGTTCTCTCTGGGTGTGTTGGCTTCCTCCATTGATCCAAAACATGACTGTTAGTTTAGTAGGTTCTCTAAATTAACGCTAAGATAATGGAGAATGTAAATTGTCATTTATTTTGTGTGTGTGTGGTCATGTGACAGGCTGGCCTTATTTCCTGAGTGCACCCAACCTTTCGGCCAACGATTTCTGGAGAAAGTCACCAAACACAGCAACCCTGCAAAGATAAAGCATTACAACTTTGCAGGCCCCAGCCGACTCACAGAGCAGACTTAATACAAAACATTACAATAGTTAACAGAATAGCCTTTTAATTTGTACTTCTGGCTGTGTTGTGCCTTGTTAATACATGATATGCCACAGTTCCTGAGCATGCTCAGTATACAGAGACAGAGATGCATTATTGTTAGTTCGTATTGGTGGTGGTAGAAAGCCGAGAAATGCTCTCTCTTGTAAACAGAGAGAACATGAGTGACGTCTGTGTTGCGTCTTAAGACAGTAGTGAAACTGATGACAGTTGATTTTTGACAGTTTGGAGGATTTATTTGCTTGATCCATTCAAGTTGTCGGGTTGTGCAACTGAACCAGCATTCCTGACTCTCAGCCAGGTCACACCTAACCTAACCTGAGTCCTGATGTAAATCAGAGATGTGAGCTCTAACTTCTGGGACACAGACATAAAAAACATTTTCATTGTTGATGATGTTTCAACAGGAACCCCTGGTATTGAGGAGAAAACTGTGGCAATACTTGAAGTAGAAAGAAACAACTATTTGCAGACCAGTGTGTCTGGGCTTGTGGTTGTCACCCTGAAGAAGGCCACAAGCTGAAATGCGCTGGTCTACAAATAAAGCTGGGTTTTAGCTTTAGTTACTTCTGCTGCTGGAGTTTTCCCTTCAGCAGATCTTTGACCCTCTCTGCTCACCAAAACTGTCCAAAACATTTTAAAATTTCAGGCTCCTGTTTCCTGTCTGGTCATAAACTGTGTGGGCTGTTCTGATGTACATTATACAGTTCATTATTTAAGGTGAAGCATCGCAACTCAATGGAATTTCAGATGCAATTATTCCAACATGACTCCTGTAATATATATATTTTGAATAAATATTAAACTATATGTGTATTACTTTATTCTCAAGCAGAAATAAGTCTGGTTTATTGCAAAGAAATTTGCAAGATTTACAACTCAATGGTTACTGTAAACTCAAGAACTTGATGTAAGTTAAGTTGATGTGGGAATTAGAATAGAACCGGAATTTATGCACAACAGAACCAGCGTGACAGGCAATCAACACAAGAAGATTCATACAAAGATATACGTATACAAACATATGAAAATAAAAATACTGTTACAGCAAGGACAAGATTTCAACATAAATATTGTAGAGCTGTGAAAAGTAGTATATCCCAGTCCAAAATAATGAGCAACTCAGTAGGTGAATTTAATTTTATTGCACAAAATGTGCCTGTCAATTAATCAGATCAACATTCCTTTCATATCTGTAGTGATGCTAGTGACGCTGAAACGTCAGAGTAACAACCACGGGAATTTCCCTTCACATTCAATTACACTGCAGAATGTAGCGAAGAATTTGAAGATGACATTTGTTCATTAACTTTATGTTCCTCCTGGGTTTAGCTGTATACTTCTTGACTAGCCAAATATTTCCTGAGTACATCTGTTTTCAAGGTTGCACAACATTCAAAATCTTACGGTTTTATCTTGTAAACAGAGAGAGCATGATTCACGTCTGTGTTGTGTCTTAAGACGGTAGTGAAACTGACAATTTATTTTTGACAGGCTAGAAGATTTATGTGCTTGATCCATTCAAGTTGCCGTGCTGTGCATGTGAATCGTACCTGTAGGAGTGGAAAAGTTTAGTCTGCTTGTAATCTGATCACACCCTGAAAGAGCTGCAAATCTGCCGGTTTTTATCTTATACACACACGCATGAGTTACTGTTTAATGCTTTGCCCAAACAAGTTGTCTGAATCACGTGGCTAACATGCTT